GGCAGTATCACTACGGAAGTAGATTGCCCCATCTTCCTTCCGAGGAGTGGCTGGTGGGTTTGAACCGCCAGCCTTCTGGTTAGCAGCCAAGTGCCCTAGCCACTATGCTACCAGAGCTCCCAATTTTACATATAGATACCTTTATTGAATTTTCTTAAGCTTTCTGGTATTTTTTTTGTTTTCTTTTTTACCCAGTTAAACTTTGGATTCCATGTGTCAACTTAAAATAATAATGACTTTACATCTCCCTTCTCAATTTCTACACTTCATTAATTTCATTTGGCTAATTGCACTTGCTAGTTCCTTCTGGGAAATGTTACATAGTAATGTTGATATGAGCATCACAGTCTCACTCATGACTTTAATGGGAACCCTGCTAGTGCTTCAGGGCCTTTGGGTAAGTATCCATCTAGCTCTCTATTGTTAGGAGTGTGTAAGTTTTTGTGTGTGTATGCATGAACAAGTGTGTGTGTCTGTGCCTATTGAGGGGTAGTTATTGAATTTTATCTAATATGTCTTAAGCAAGTTTGAGTGAGTCACATAATTTGTAACTATTAACTTATTAATACCAGCATGTTAATTTGATCAATTAAGTTAATAATTAGTAATCCAAATTAATTAAATGCTTAGTTTACCTAATGTAGAACCAATTCATCTTTGATAGATTGGACCATACTTGATAATAATGTTTTCTCCTATAATGGGCTACCAGCTTCTATTGGTTAATAGTTTATTTGAAATTATATCAAGTGAAATCAGTCTATAGTTTTGTGTGTGTGATTTTTAGAAAAATGTTTTCTTTCCTATACTGAATTTGGAAAAAAAAAAAAACAGTAAAAAGAAGCTAAATAACTCAAGCTGAAAAGTATATGGATATGCATATTTTCTAAAGAAGAATTGTCAATGGCTGAAAGATATGTGAAAACATGCTTAACTCACTTGTAACTTGAAATTGCAAATTGACATCTTAAGGCTATCTTTCTCATACTACTAACCCCAGTACCGTTTAAAGAAAGAAATATATCTCTGCCTTGTCTATCAAATTATGGATAACATTGGGAAAAATGGGAATTCCAGAACACTTAATGGTGTTCATGTAGAACCTGTATATAGATCAAGAGGCAGTTATTCAAACAGAACAAGGGCTACTATGCAGTTTAAACTCAGGAAAGATGTTCGTAAGGGTTGTATCCTTTCAATGTTTATGCTGAGCAAATAATCCAAGAAACTGGGCTGTATGAAAAAGATCATGGTGTCAGGCTTGGTGGAAGACTCATTCACAACCTTGAAATATGCAGATGACACAACCTTACTTGCTCAAAGTGCAGAGGACTTGAAGATGAAGATTAAAGAGTACAGATTTCAGTATGGATTATACCTCAACATAAAGAAAACCAAAATCCTCACAATTGTACAATAAGCAACATTAAGGTAAATGGAGAAAGACTGAAAATTGGCAAGGATTTCATTTTACTTGGGTCCACTCTCATCGCCCATGGAAGCAGCAGTCAAGAAATCAAACAGTGTATTACATTGGGCAAATTTACTGCAAAGCACTCTTTAAAGTGTTAAAAAGCAAAGATGTCACTTTGAGGATTAAGGTGCACTCGACCTAAATCATGATATTTTCAATTACCTCATATGCAAGCAAATTCTGGACAATGAATAAAAGAACAATTGATGCCTTTGTGTTATGGTGTTGGTGAAGAATGCCATGGTTTGCCAGAAGAATGAACAAATCTGTCTTGGAAGAAGTACAACCAGAATGCTCCTTAGAAATTAGGGTGGTAAGACTTTGTCTTATGTATTTTGGACATGTTATCAGGATGGACCACTTCCTGGAGAAGGACATCATATTTGGTAAAGTAGAGGGTCAATGAAGAAGGGAACACCCTCAACGATATGGATAGACACAGTGGCTTTAACAATAGGCTCAAATATAGCAACAGTTGTGAGGATGGCATAGAACCAAGCAGTGTTTCATTTTGTTGTACTTGGGGTCACTATGAATCATAACTGACTCTACAGCACCTAACACCACCACCAATTCTATCAGTAATGACAATCACTTTTCTTTGAGAAGCTCCCATAAAGACGTTTGAATTTTAATTCCTTTAACAGGTGGAAGAAAAGCTTCAGTGGTTTCTACAAAGAAAAGAATGCACAAAGATAGGAGGTTTCCACTGATAACTGGGATTGCTTTTTAAACTGAACATAAGAGGTTCCTTCAGCAAGATGGCTCTGCTACCCTGGCCTGGAATTTCATATTCAATTCAGACTCTTTGGAAATACTAGATAAGTTTTAACACGAGCAAATCATTTGAGAAATCCAGGTCTCTGTTTCCTCATCTATAAAATGACAATGCTTATGCTTGCCTTGATAGACTACAAGGAGTATAAAAGAAAATGAATTTGTTGAAGCCCTTTTCAAATCTAAATAAAACATGAAATATTATTAGTATTTTAAGTACTGCAAGTGGAAGCATCAAAGTATATGTAAAAACACTGTCTTTCGGATTGAAATCTCAAAATGGCCCCTTGCCTGTACCAAACCAAATAAACAGATCAGCCGAGGCGAGACCCTTATGTTTCTACATTCTCTCCATTCCCCCATCACCTTCCGTGCTTCCTGCAGCCCTCCCATTCACCCACCCCTACTTCTGCTGCTACATAGGGTCTTCTTGGGTGACATTTATACCAGGGAGAGAGGGCAGTGAAAGAGCATGGACAGACACCTTCCTTCTGTCCTCTCCCAGCCCTTACTCTGTTTGCATTACAAAGTGAGAGTGAAATACAATTCCTTTTATATTTGGCTGTCATTACTACATTTAATATAAAATTTCAAATGTATGGATGATGAGGTTACTCACGAGACACAGAGGCACAGGGCTCCTGGGACTGACTCACTGTCCCTCAATAGAAAATTGCCATCCACCCCATCCCTGAGCAGCAAGGTCTCACAGTCTTTCTTGTTCAGGGGGCCGTGGTAATAAGGCAGATCCATAGAGATCCCCCAAGTCAAGGGTCAGCTCTGAGGAGGGAAGTGGAGGCAGCTGGTCTGATAGAGCCTCAACGTCTTCCTCCTGTGGCTGGTGGAATGAGATCAGGCGGCTCTGTGAGAAATTAGCCAGTTTCACAAGCTTCAGGAAGTGAGAAGGGTGGGGGTATGAAGTGACCAAGCATATAAATGGCTAAGTGTAAGCTTCTTACACTCACAGAAGTGGGTGAGAACACATTGGAGTACGCACATTGGAATCAGTGATGTTCCATGGCTAGGGCTGCAATGCTGAAGTTAAGCTTCCCAGAACTGAGTCGCAGCCTTGGATATCACCCTATATTGCTAGGCTTTGCCTTCTCTGGCTGTTGGCGTCCTTTCTGGGGAGAGCACCACTGCTTTTGCTGTAATGGGTGCCCATTATCAGCTGAAACTGCCTATGATTAGCCTTGCTTAGCCCAGAACAGGTGTTCAAAATGGTTTGGATGCTGAATGAATTCAGATATGTCCAGACACAATGGAAAAATGGAAAGGAGGAAACTTCAGTGGGTCAAATTACATGAAAAATGGAAGACATCAATGGGAAGAGAAATGAACTGGACACTCTCAGGGATGACAGCCCATCCCATGGTGAAAGCTTCTAGCTACTGAGGGACAAAGGTCATTTTTAACATTCTTAGACATTGTGCCTTTTTTGGGGAGGGACTGGTACAAGTGGGAGGAATATGTGAATATGCAAACTTAGTGTAGGGGTATTTCTTACAGGTGGATAATAATTATATACCATATCTCATTCACTCACTGCCATTGAGTTGGATCTGACTCATGGTGACCCCTCCTTGAGTTTCTGAGGCAGTATCATTATGGAAGTAGATTGCCCAACTTTCCTTCCGAGGAGTGGCTGGTGGGTTTGAACTGCCAGCCTTCAGATTAGCAGTCAAATGCCTTAGGCACTATGCCACCAGACCTCCTTTGTCTTTTCTAATACCTTTGTATTTTTACTTCCTTGGTCTCTCAGTGGGAGCCCAGCCTCTGAAAATGATGCTCCCTCAAGCAATTTTAGCTGCAAGGGGACAGTAATCATTGCCCACGTCAAGCTCCAAGCACAGCATAACTGCATCTACCTGTCTGAAATCAATTCCTTTCTGCTGTGACACTCACTAACTGCAATACACTATCAGTTTTTCTTTAGTTCTTCTGACCTTAACTACCTGAAGTTAGTCAGATCTCACATGGCAAGGGACACAGTTCTCCACACTTCCAAGTCTACCCAAGTCTTAAACCAGCAATGAGTTCAAGAGTTTCCAGGCCATGTGCACTTTGTAGCCAACTGGCTACAGATTTGGAGTTCTACTTCCCTCTCAGCCACCAGCTGCAAGCTCAAGGGTCCCCAGGACCCTTGTACTTTGGACCTGATGGCTACAAGTTTGGGATTTTCCACTATCCCCTCAGGTTCAATAATGCACTAGAATGACTCACAGAATTCAGGAACTCATTACACTTATGATTACAGTTTTATTATAATGAATACAAATCAGAATCAGTATAAAGGAGAGTCGCAAAAGGTTAGATTCTGTGTTCCCAGGGATAACTTACCCTCCCATGTATCAGTATCTACCATCAACCAGGAAGAACACCTGAACTTCAGTGTCCAGAGTTGTTGTGTTTTTTTTTTTTTAACTGGGATTTCATTACATAGATATGGTTAACTAAGTCATTGGTTACAAGTTTGAACCCAAGCTCCATCCTTCTTATTAACTGAGCTCTCTTATGGTGAGCAGGACTCTGGGAACATTGATGTCTCTCCCCAAGAAGGTTGCTGCAGGAGAACAGGTTGGCACTATTACACAGTTTCTTATTTTTTTTTTTTTATCTCTTGCCTTAATAACACCAAAAGAAAAAAAGGAAGCCAGAAAAGAGGAGAGCAAGTGATACTGAACTGAAAGAGTACCTGAGTTTCACCCAGTTTTATTACAAGAAGTTCAGTATCTGATCACGTTAAAGGGTGAAGATCCTGTTAAAGACATCTGGGATAGTCTCCCATTTCACTCTGAGGGTCTTCAGTGAGTAGGAATATAAGTAACATTGTTGATGACAAGATTGAGAAGGTCCTTCACAAGACTTTGAGGACTGGATAACTCTTACTAAAGGTGGCCCCTCAATTCCCCTGACATGGCCTATGGGGCCAGAAGACTTCCTGGCTAGACTTCTTATTTTCTTTGGCCCCGCATTCTTCTTCCACTTCCTTCTTCTTCTGAACCTCTAGACAACTGATCCTTGAGAGGAGCCCCTTCTAGCTGGGAACTTCAGAAATGAACCCAAGGCCCTCAGAGAAACCCCAGAGGAGATAAAAGATTCATGTCAGTGACTAACAGTGACCTACAGATCCTAAATGATGATTGTAGCTGGTTAAATAACCCAGAAAATATGTTTCTTTTTCCGTTTAATCCCTCACGGGCTGAAATTGGAAGAGTGTAAAGGTCTGTCTGAGATCTTTGCTTTTTTCTCTCCTTTTATCCCCAAGTCCTCTTCTTTTGGAATGGCCTAGAGAGGACCTCATTTGCTGTTTTCATTCTTTAAAACTATTGCCCTAAGCCCATCAATGAATGAATGGTTAAACAAAATGTGGTACACACATACAGTGGAATACTACTCGGCCAAAAAAAGAAATGAAGTCTTGATACATGCTATTACAATGGATGGAGCTTGTAGACTTTATGCTGAATTAAATAAGTCAACCACAAAAGGACGAACATTATATGACCTCACTTATATAAAAAGACAAGAACAGGCAAATATATAGAGACCAAAGTTTATTAGTGATTACCAGGGGCAAGAGGAAAGCACTCTGGTGGTATAGTGGTTAAGACATTTGGCTACTAACCAAAAGGTCAGTGGTTCAAACCCACCAGATGCTCCATGGAAGAAAGATGAGGCAGTCAGCTTCCATAAATATTTACAGCTTTAGAAACTCAATGAGGATTGCTATGAGTCAGAGTTGACTCAATGGCAGTGAGTTATTTTGAGGGGGCAGGAAGGAGGAGGAAATGGAGGTTATTGCTTGTGGAGAACTGAGTTTCTGTTTACAGTGATGGAAATATTACATTGATTAAAGGTAGGGTTACACAGTCAATTAATGTATTTGCTGTAAATAAGCTGCATATTTGTAAAAAGTTGAATTGACAAAAGTTGTGTCATAAATATATTCACATCAACAAAAAGAGAAGCTTCTGAAGTACTTAAGTAAATCCAAACACTTCATGGGATTTGGTTTCTTGGTTAGGAGGTTTAGGGTCATGGTTTCATGGGACATCTCATTTAATTGGCTTAGTATCATTTTTAATGTTTTTGTTTTATTCTCTAGTTCATCTGTAGTGTCTGGGATCTTAAAAGCTTGTAAGCAGCCATCCAAAGTACAACAATTGGTCTCCATTCACTGGGAGCAACAGAAGAAGAAAGAGAGTCAGGAATAAGATGAAGAAATGGAATGTGTGGCTAATTGCCTCCAGGATCAAATGCTTCCTTTGCCATGAGACCAGAAGAACTGAATGGTACCCAGCTATCATTACTGTTCTGGTTACCTAGTGCAGCTCAGACAAGAATATACCACAAATGGGATGGCCTTAACAAACAGGAGTTTATTCTCTTACAGTTTGGAGGCTTTAAGTGCAAGTTCAAAGTGCCAGGCTCTAGGGGCTGGGTAAAAGACCCTCAAACATGGGGTCCAGCTCTGCCTCCTGCTCCCGGCCCACTGGAGCTAGAAGCATTTCTTCACTCAGATAGCTGCTGGCCGCTGAAGCTGAGAAGCCCAAGGTTGACAAGTAAAAAGGCATAGTCCCGATGTTACCAAACCGCATGGCAGGCCATTAACTTAAGTCCATTGTAAGTCCCAAGGTCAGCAGAGCATAGCAGGCTGCTAAGCAATGACCCGGCTACATACAGGGTCCAAGTGTGCCATAGGCTAGAGACCGTTCCCAAGGCTTCTCCTTATATACAGGAAGAAGACCACATCCCAAAGGCAGCTACTCAGCTGCTTGTGGTAGATCCCACCATGGAGTTGATTGCCAGTCTCCTCATGGGGATTAACCACTACCAGCTGCCCAGCCACTCAACCAGGCCCAGCCAAGTTGATACACAAACTGAACTACCACAATTACTGAACATTTTGATCAAAGATGCTATAAAAGAATTTTAATCAAAATAGAGAAAATTCAGAGAATTTAAAACTCTCATGGAACTCAGACTTCTGAAGTCATGGAAGCTAGATGAACCCTGGAAACTATTATCCTGATATAATATTTAAATGTTAAATAAAAATATCCCCTGAAATAAACCAAATAATGGTTTGGCTTCACTAGTGAAGAATGTCTGCCTTGAGCATTGTGCTCTTTAAGCATTGTGTGGGATCAAACTGACAACAGAACCTAAAAGACTAGCTAGGAAACTTAGGAAGGAATAACGGAAAGGGAGGTGAGAACGGTTGCACAACTCAAAGAACGTAATCAATGTCACTGAATTGTACATGTAGAAATTGTTGAATTGGTGTATATTTTATTATGTATATTATCAACAACAAAAAAGGAAGTAAATTATATTTAAATAAAAAAAGCACCAAACTCCAAACTCACTGCCGTCAAGTCAAATCCCACTCGTAGCGACCCCTCCTTGGGTTTCCAAGGTGGTATCACTACAGAAGTAGATTGCCCAACTTTCCTTCTGAGGAGTGGCTTGTGGGTTTGAACCTCTAGCCATCTGGTTAGCAGTCAAACGCCTTAGGCACTTTTTCTAATACCCTTCCCTGCTAAAAACAAAATTCACTCATAAGAAAGGCTCAAAGTGAACAGTGTAGAATTTATCGGACATTTGGTCAAGGAGGAGAGGTTTGCATTGCACACTCCACAAAAAAATAACTTAGAAATGCATTTAGACATTCTAATTTCCCAGTGACCTTTTGGCACCCTGTATCCTAGGGGAGGGATCTCTGGTGATGCAATGATTAAAGCATTTGC